CCTTTACTATTCCTCTCCACATCCCCAGGCCTCAGAGGGCCTGGCACAAGAGGTATTTGTCAAATGAATGAATAAAGACAGGGTTGAATGGACTCGGTTTAGAGGGGTTCTCCAGGTGGTGACAGCTTCCCCTCCTTGGCTGGGCTGTCCTACTGCCATCAGGATTGGGGGAGTGGTGGGAGGGGGCGGAGCTGAGGGGGGCTCTGGCCTAGAGGGAAGGGCCGTGACCCTAACATTTGGCAGAGCTTTGAAGCATAAGTTGGAGATCCCCCAGGCCATGATAATGAGCATGAGTGCCAAAACAAACTTGTACTGACTTCTAAATTAAAAAAACACATTCATATCCGGTGATTCACTAATGAAAATAGTTACCACCAATGATGTGAAGTCCCTGAAACACTGCACAGCAGCATTCTCGCTAAACATAGCGACTTCGGCGAAGCCAGCACCTGCGCTCTTGACTGCTCACCCTGACCATCTGATCCAATCAGAGGTGGATCTGGTCTTTGACTCCAGTGTCTCTGAGCAGCCATTGCGTGAAGCACAGCTGTTCTCAGCACCAGGGGTACAACGGTGAAGACAGGAGGCCCCCGTTCTCCTGAACTTTACTATCTGACACCAGCAAATAACTGCAGAACTCCTTACATACACGATTAGTTATGCAATCAATTCCAATTGTGTGCTTTGGAAAAGAAGAGGGTGCTGATGATGAAAGACAACAGGAAGACCTCCCGGGAAGAAGTCAGAGGTTTCCCTGATGTGATAGTGGAGCTGAGATCTGGAGGCTAGGAAGGAGGCAACCAGGCAAAACCAGAGAAGAGCGGGGAGAACAGCAGTACGAAGGCAGGACGGAGACGTGCCTGGGGACCTCGGGAAGGCATATGTGGTTGGAGGCCATACAAGAGGGCACGTGAGGGGCCGTAAAGGCTGAAGTGCAGCTGGGGAGACAGACCAGGGTCAGGCTGTGATGAGGAAGTGCGGCTTCATCCGGACAACAGTCCTCCTTCGTGTCTCATTTTCCAATCCTCTCCTATCAGGGCTCCCTGCTTCTGGTCTGGTTCTGCTCCATCTCTCTGCAGCAAAGCTGCCAGGAGGAGCTTTCAAATAATCCATAAATCCGATCCTGTCGCTTCCCTGCTCAAAACCTTTCAATGGCTCCTCACCTTCCACCTCCTGAAGACTTAACTCATGTCTTCACTAACAGAACCCGCAATTTGTTCAAGTGCCCAGGGTTCCGCAACCCAGCCATGGACCTCAGGGAAGAGCGGGCCCTGCCCCCACTCTGGGTCTGACTGACCTATGAGGATGCCTCCCCCACTTTCCCAGAAGTTCAAGAATGGGGAAGTAAAGCAGGGAAGGGTGCTTGGAGAAGATTCTTTGCATTTAGGGGGAGAGCTGCAGAAAGCTACTATCTCTGACAGCACATGAAGGAGGAAGTGCAGAGAGGCCCAACCACTTTAGGCAAGCCAACTGTCAGCACAGGAAACCAACCCAAGGCTATTGGCTGGGGCCAATACGGCAGAGATGGAAATAGAAAGACCCGGGGTCCTTACTGACGTCACTGGACGTTTAATTAACCAACGCTAGAGCCTGCCTTACCCCCTGAACTTCCTGTTACATGAAATACTAAATCTTATTTTAAGCTGGTTTGAATCTGGGTTTTTTTTTGTTGCTGTTGTCGTTATTTGCATCAGATGGCACCCTGATACCCTTAACCTGACAAAGAAGGGCCATTTGGGGGGGCACCTGGATGGCTCAGTCGGTTAAGTGTCTGCCTTTGCCTCAGGTCATGATCCCAGGGGCCTGGGATTGAGCCCCACGTTGGGGGGGGGTCCCCTGCTCAGCGGGGAGCCTGCTTCTCCCTCTGCCCCTCCCCCTGCTCATGCTCTTTCTGTCAGATAAATAAAAAAAAATCTTAAAAAAAAAAAAGGGCCATTTGGAATTTCCCTCTGCCTGGTTTCTCAGCCACTTCTACACCCCCTCAACTCCTACCCTTACTTCCAATCATGCTCACCTTTGTGAAGTTCTCCTCTCCTTCTACTTGGAATACTCTTCCAACCCCCCCAGACCTGGGAAACTCCTACTCATCCTTTAGAACGCTGTTCAAAGGTCACTTCATCTGTAAAGCCTTCTAGTACCCCCTGAACAGATTAAAAGCCGCCCTCTCTGGACCCTCCTATTACCCAGAGGGTCCTCACTTTCTAAGTATTCATCACTCTTGGTCCCTGGGAAGGTAGGAATTTTGTCTTATGACCAATATATTAACCGATGAATAGACGACTTCCATTTGTCCCCACCCTTCACTTCAGAGTCTTTGTCCAAAGTCTATCTCATAGAGGGACGCCTGGCTGGCTCAGTCAGTAGAGCATGTGACTCTTAATCTTGGGGTTGTGGGTTCGGGCCCTACATAGGGTGTAGAGATTACTTAGAAATAAAATCTTAAAAAAAAAAAAAAGGCTGTCTCATAGACAGTTGGATTCAAAGCAAATTACAGGCCGCAGACCAGCTTGCTAACCACAATTGCAAATCTTGCAAAGCGATGCTGGGAAACTATTAAATTTGGCAGACCAGCTGATGACTGCCGCTTCTATTTTTTTTTTTTTGACTGCCACTTCTAAACACACTGGTCTGACTGATGGGGCCCTTATTTTTTCCATAAGATCCTCACTTGATTCCCTACTATGTGTCAGGCAATAGGCCAGGCACCATGGTTATAACCAAGAATGAGGCAAACTGCCTGCCTTTCTTCATCTTACATTCTTTAGAGTAAGGGAGGGAGGCAGTAAACACGTACAAGTATGCTATATAATTTCATATAGTAATAAGTATTATGTAGAAACAAAGTAGGATAAAGGCAATAGAAATGAAATTCCAAATGTGGTTACAGAACAATAATTTTCTAGAAAAGATCCTCTCTGAGGGACACTGACAGAGAATGTGCTGAGGGGAAGGAACCACTCTCCCTACTCAGTACAGTGGGCCCCCCTGCAGCCACGGTCCTATTGTGTGACTCTGTCCCACTGGCCACAGCTGACTGGACCACGAGTAGACAGCTGACCCAAGTGAGGCCCATCAGATTCCTCCTGGGAATCTGGACGTGGAATACCAGTTATCTAACTGGTAGTGTAGGGTAAGAGGAGGATTCGGCTTTAAGGCTGGGGCAGTTGTTGGCCAAGTACAGAGAGAAAGAGAAAGGTGGCCTGCAGAAGGAAGACGAGGGGAGCAGACCCAGCTGAATGTTAGAGACTGGTGTGAGGGACAAAAGTGAGGTTCTTGAGTCCCAGTGGATTGGCAGGTACAGATTCCAGGCTCTCGAAAGGTCCAGCTGGAAGTCCTCCCGTTTGATCTGTGAGAGTCCTACCTCTCCGATAAATACCTTTTGCAGTTCAAGTTAGTCTGAGTGGGGGCGGGGGTGGCTGGGTGGCTCAGTCAGTTAAGGGTCTGCCTTAGGCTCGGGTCATGATCTCTGCGTCCTGGGATTGAGCCCTGTGTTGGGCTCCCCGCTCAGCGGGGCGTCTGCTTTTCCCTCTCCCACTGCCCCTCCCCCTGCTCCTTCTCTCTGTCAAATAAATAATCTTTTTTTTTTTTTTATTTTAAAGTCAGTCTGAGTGTTTCTATGCTTTACAATCAAGATTGCCCTTTCTAAGAATGAAAATACCGGTGGTGATGATGATGGTTAACAGATAACATCGGTTAAGTGCCAAGCACTGTTTTAAGAACTTTCCATATAACATCTATTTTTTCTCTTCTTTAAACTTTTTTATTGTTGTTAATCACCATACATTACATCATTAGTTTCTGATGTAGTGTTCCATGATTCATTGTTTGTGCATAACACCCAGTGCTCCACGCAGAACGTGCCCTCTTTAGTACCCATCCCCAGGCTAACCCCTCCCCCTACCCCTCTCCCCTCTAGAACCCTCAGTTTGTTCTTCAGAGTCCATCGGTTCGTCTCCCCCTCCAATTTACTCCCCTTCATTCTAACCCTCCTGCTATCTTTTTTTTTTAACATATACTGCCTTATTTGTTTCAGAGGTACAGATCTGTGATTAAACAGTCTTGCACAATTCACAGCGCTCACCATAGCACATACCCTTCCCAATGTCTACCACCCAGCCACCCCATCCCTCCCACCCCCCCACCACTCCAGCAACCCTCAGTTCATATAACATCTATTTTAATCCTTACGACTCTTTGAGACAGGAACACTTGCCAGCCCCATTTCACAGAGGAGGAAACTGAGGTCCAGAAGTCACATGGTGAGTAGGTGGTAGAACTGGCTTTTGAGTCTGGTAGTTGGCCTCCATGGCCTTTACCACTTCACCATGCTCTCAGAAGCCCCGGGGGAATGGACTTGAGGTTATTTCCAGTGTGTGGAGTCCCTTCACCCACACCCACGGTACTGAGCAAAACCCCCAGTGTGAAGACACATGCCGCTTTCTAGACCGCTCCCTCCAACTGAGAAAACGGCAGCCGCTTATCGATTCACGAGTCGGTTTCTAGTAACCGTGCTTGTGCCGTAGAAGCAGAGGCCCCGATGTCACTCCGTAGCTAAGGCTTGAGCTTGGACTCAGGGTTGTCATAAGCCTGAGTTTAAATCCTTGCTTTGCCTCATTCTATAACCTCGGGACACTTCATTAACTCTTCTGAGCCTCAGTTTCCCCACTTATAACACAAATAAGAATACCTCTCTCCTGGGGTTGTGGAAATTGAATGGCGATGGACTACAGTGTTTCTCATTTGGAGGCTGGCTGCCACATGGTTTCCCCATGAGTCTAGAAGCCTCAGCAGGGTCTTTCAAAAAAAATTTTTTAAAGATTTTATTTATTTGACAGAGAGACAGCGAGAGAGGGAACACAAGCAGGGGGAATGGGAAAGGGAGAAGCAGGCTTCCCACTGAGGAGGGAGCCTGATGCGGGACTCAATCCCAGGACCCTGGGATCATGACCTGAGCCAAAGGCAGATAGATGCTTAACGACTGAGCCACCCAGGTGCCCCCCCCAAATTTTTATTTTATTTATTCTTTTTCCAGTACGGTCTTTATAGACAGCCACCATCTTCCTTCCACTTTAGCCATTCCTATTTACCCCAATAAGAACATCTATTTCAGGGGCGCCTCGCTGGCTCAGTTGGAAGAGCATGAGACTCTTGATCTTGGGGTTGTGAATTTGAGCCCCATTTTGGGCACAGAAATTACTTAAATAAATAAAAATAAGTAAATAAAAAGAACATCTTATTTCAGAAACCTGTAGACAATGACTTAAAAAATGGGCAGAAGGAAGAGGTGGATATGAAGAAAAAGGTGTAAAACAGGCAGGGCGAAGGTCTCCAGTCCAAGGACCAGGCCTGGAGAACTGGAAAAGAGAAAGAGGTGACCTTTAGAGGAGACACAGGATGCCCCAAGTGCAAGAATAAAGAGCAGTATAAAACGCAGTGCTCACCCTTGGCAGACGGTCACTTCCCCTTTTACAAGCCCCAAAGGGTCTGCCGTCCGGTTTCAGCCCTGCATGCACCAGCCATCCTTGCCTGCTCCACATCCCAATGGGGCCCGAGAACTGAGACCCACGTGTCCAGGGAGCTGCCTCACTGTCAGGGGATGACCTGCATCCCCTCAACACTCATGCTGAAGCCCTAACCCCCAGGAGCTCAGAACGTGACTGGATGTGGAGACAGGATCCCTAAAGGGGTGATTAAGTTACAATTGGGCCATTAGGGTGGGCCTTACTCCAACCTGACCCATATCCTTCTAAGAGGAGATGTGAACACCCGGAGAGATGCCAAGACATGCCCTGAAGAAAGACCACGTGAGGACACAGAGAGAAGGTAGCCACGGGCAAGCCAAGGAGAGAGGCCTCTGCGAAGCCGCAACTGCTGACACCTTGAGCTTGGGACTCCCAGACTCCAGAACTGTGAGAAAATAATCTTCTGTTGTTTAAGCCACCTGTCTGGCAGCCTAAGCTGAATGTGAACCAGCCCCTAACCTGTGCCGTGTAACATGCTGTCCGAACCAGACACGAGGTGAGAAGAATCCATAAATGCACTGTGAGCACCCGCAGACTGTTTCCACTCGGGGTTCCTTCCATGAGCTTCCCCATGGGCTCCAGGCCCCTCCGTTTCCCTTGTTGTGCACCCACAGACTGTTTCCACTCGGGGTTCCTTCCACGAGCTTCCTGATGGGCTCCAGGCCATTCCGCTTCCCTCTGAAGGTGGTTTCCAGGCCCATCCAGGTTCCCAGGGCCAACTTCATTGTCCTGCACATCTGCTCTCTAGCTGGAAAGCACCTTCTGTATTCGTTCCCGCACTTCCTTCGCTCCCAAGGATACCATCATCTCGGCTACAGGGGGTCCTTGCTAAGAACGAAAAAAGAAAACACTGCCTCATTGCCTTAAGCTGCCGAAAGAGCAAACGCCCAGCCTCAGTCTGCAGGCACTCTGCCCCAGGCCAACCCCAGTGCTGCCGCCTGCCCCCCAGGGGGCACAGTTAGCTTTCTACTGTTTTTACTTTCTGCAGCTGAGGCTGGCTCCCAGGAGCCTGTATTCCTGTGCTGATATGTTTATTGCCCCCATTCAACCACCAGCTCCGTGCAGGTAGGGAGTGGGTGTGTTTCATTCACTGCTGTACCCACTGCACCCGGCACGGTGCTTGCACACACAGTAGGTACACCATAAATACTATCTGCTGAGTGACTGAAGGGAACGATTCCGCTTCATTTGTCTTTGTATCCCTGAGCCAGAGTTTAGTGCCGGCCAGTGAATGCCAGCTGAATGGATGAATGAGGGGCTCCAGGGAACCGTCCAGCCCAACTGCCCACCTACCAGCTGTCCGCTCAGGGCCACTCGGAGGAGCCGCATGACAGTACTGTGTTTGGTCCCTTCCAGGCCTTCAGATACCTTCCTCAGTTCGCTATTCAGCACGTCCTGAGTTAAGCTTGTACCGGGTCCTTCCAAAAGCCTAGAAAAGAGGGGTGCCTGGCTGGCTCAGTTGGAAGAGCATGCGACTCTTGATCTCAGGGTTGTGAGTTCGAGCCACATGTTGTGTGCAGAGATTACTAAAAAAAATAAACAGGGGCGACTAGATGCTCAGTCGGTTAAAGTCTGACTCCTGTCAGCTCAGGTCTTGATTTGAGGTTGTGAGTTCAAGCCCCGCATTGGGCTCTACACTGGGCACGGAGCCTACTTAATAGAATAATGGTAACAATTAAATAAATAAATAAACTTAAAAAAAAAAAATGAACAAAAGCCTAGGAAAGAGCCAGTCTATGGGGGTCAGTGGCAAGCAGGTGAGAGAAGGAATTTCAGAAGATTAACAGTCAGCTGTGACTGTTCAAGCCAGTATTCAAGCCTGCTTGGGGGAGAAGGGAGGGAAGGAAGATCTATTACCCCCACCCCCATCCAAGTTGAGGAAGAAAAATCACCAAGAGACCACATACACAGATAATCCAAGCACAATATAGGAAAACTACATAATAAGAGATTTTACTAATTTCTACCTCAATTATTATATGATCTGTATGCATCAGTTTTCTCATCTGTAAAGTGGGGATAGTAACAGTGTCTGCACCTCACAGGATTCTTGTGGGGCTAAAACTTGTCAGGAACTAGGTACATTGCCTGAACAGACAATAAGTACTCCAAAGTATTAGATCCCATAATACATTAAAAGATTAAATATTAGCTAACATTATTATATCCAAGAGCTCAAGGACATTGCAAGAGAATCTAAAAAAACGAACTTAGGAACAGGTTAGACACAGGATGGAAGAAGGAAGCCCTCTGGGAAATTACCTGAAATGGAGTGAAGGGAAGACCCTTTGGGGGAGTGTATAGCACAGAAGTGCAGGAAGAAAGACTTCAGGAGACCCCGGCTCCTGTAACACCACCCCACCAACTTGCTTTTTTTTTTTTAATTTTCAGGGCAGCAAACATGCTCTTGCATTCTCCCTTGCCTCCACTCTGGGGCACAATGAGATTCAGGCCTATCAGGTCTGCACATCCATGCTGGCCTTTATGAACTGTCCGGTTAAGTCACAGATGCCGCCTTCCCAGCGGCCAGGAACAGCATCTTGCACAGCGGCATGGAGAGGTAGGTGACCCAGGCCTGCGTGCATTTCCAGAAGGCCTTGTACTTGGCAGGCCACTGCACTTGGACGTGATGAAGCAGGGGAAGTAGGCCAGGGTGAAGCAGTTCCTAAAGTGGAAGAGGGTCATGGTGCCTGCTGCCTGGGGCCACCAGAGCGCAGGTCTCTGCATGAGCCGGCCTGGCAGCCCCTTCTTGCTACAACCATTCTTTGCTCACAAGTTGAAGCACTCCAGACCTAAAATCCAATAGGCCAGTCACTGCTCTCTGCTCTCCTGGCAGGCCAGCTGGGATCCTCTCACACAAGTGCGCTTGAGTTTCAAGAGACTCCCCAGTCACTTAGAGCTGGACTTGCCAAAAAAGAGTAACAACAACTCTGAGTTGGAGCGTAAGACAGACGCAGGGTGGGGTGGGTCTATTTGACGGCACCTTGCCAGTTCCCTTCAGCTACTGTGGAGACTCCAACTGGAAGTGCTGCCCAGGGGCCGGGGCTGGAGAGCTTCGCCAGTGCGGACGATCCACGATGCCTGTGATACCGCCTGTGCACATCGGGGTCCAGAGAGCCCCCTTCCAAGGCTGGGCTTCGTGCGGGGGCTACTGGCCCCGGGGAACCGCGTTCAGAAGTAACTCGAAGAGACTGCCGCTTCGCACTGACAGATTTCCTCCCTAACTCCGCATTTGAGCAACTGAGTTTCAGTGGGAGGCAAAAGTAATCATTCTTATTACATCGTTAACTGGGCCACATGATGACTGTTATTTCCAAAATCCAGGAGACAAAATCCGGAAAATATAAAATGTAACGTGGGAAAAAACAGGTACTCTCCTCCACATCGCTGTGGGGAAAGAGGCTGCCAAGGAGCTGGTGAAAGAGTGACAGGCCCCAGGCGGCCAACGATGGCAGCTCAGGACATGTTAGAGCTGGCCCAGAGCTTGGCGTGGGCACAGAAGGGACTTCGAGAAATCTGGCAGCTCTGAAATGCTTGAGTATCGGTTTTCCTGCCTTGAGTGGGAGCCCCAGACTGTCTCTGAAATCTAACCCCATGGCAGCGATGGGGAGTTAAGGCAATGGTCCTGGTGAATCAGAACTAAGGGCCCCTATGGTAGAATGCCCTAAATTAAGGGAGTATTAACAATAATGGCTCTTGGGAATTTATCCTGGAGATACACTTGCAAACCTGCCTAATGATGTCTATACATAGTTATTCATTGCAGCATTGTTTGTAACTGTAAAATCTGGAAGCAGTCCAAATGTCTACCAAGAGGAAATGAGTTAAATAAATTATGGTGAAGTGGCTTCATAATGGGACAGGTGCAACTGTAGAAAAGAACAAGAATGCTCTCTAGGCGCTGGGCAGCTCCACAGTGTCTTAAGTGAAACAAACAAACCAAAGACACGGGGCAGAACAGTGTTACCGTATTTCCGTGTAAAAAAGAAGGATCATTTAGATATAATCAGGAATAGTAGTAACGTACAGAGGGTTCGGAAAACTGGGTGGATGGGGGACAAGGATAAAAATGGGTTTGCCAATTATCTACCTTTCTTCTGCTTTCTGGGCTTCAAAACCAGGTTTGAGAGATCTGAATGTGTTCATCATCAAAATATTAAATTTAAGAACTTCTAAGAACGGAGGTATAGAAACATAGTGTTGAATACTCTCACATTATGCAAAGGAAACTGCTAAGTGTGGTGCATTTCTATTGGGAGCTGTAGTAGGACAGAAAACACGCTTTTTGCCATAGACCTTCTTGTACCATTTGTACATTACTGTATTTCTTGCCACGTGCTTTTCTTATCACTTCCAAATATGTATTAAAATATATTGAGCTTTCCAGGTATCGGGCACTGTCCGAGTACTTTGCACAGAGAAACATATGGCCTTGTAGTCCCAGCCTGCCTGGGTTTGAATCCCTGCTCCTCCAACTTATTGTAATTTTAGGCAAGTTACTTAGCCTCTCTGTGTCTCGATTTTCTCATCTATAAAATGGAGATAACGTTTTAACCTGATACTTCATTAGTTGCTGTGAGTTTAAGTATACCCCCCCACACGCCCCTCACATGTACCTAATGTATAGAATATATAAAATAGCCCACTGCAGGCATGTACGTAAGCAAACACTTATTACCTACTTTAACCTTCACAATAAAGGTGGGAGGAGGTAAGTAAAAAGGACACTGTGGGTTTTGCTGCCCAGCATCCGTCTGCCTTTCTCCTGATACCCCAAATCTCCTTGGGGAATCACCTCGCTCCCATTCTCAGCCCATGTGCCCTGACTGGGGGTCCATTTAAAGCCCGGGAGATCATGAGCTAACCTACGCTGATTGGCACGTCACACTCTCCAGGCTTTGATGACTGGTTCAGGGACAGGAAAACAAGGCTACCCGGGCTCTGTCAGCATCCATCTCAAGACACAGCTGAGGCTTTGTGCTGTTGGTGCCGTCTTATAACCAGAGCGCAGATACGAGAGAGGCTGCCAGTGGTCCCTTCTATCCTTTCTCCCTTTCGTATGCAGTGATAAAATTTTTAGCCAGCCTCATAGCTGCCAAGTTAAAAAATCTGTATTTTCCATGTGTGTGGCTTGGTGTGGCCCCCGAGACAGGCGTTCTAGCCAGCAGGGTATGGGTGGGAATGAACATGTAACCATTAAGTCAGGTCCGTAAGGGGAAGGAGCGTCCTGCTCTTCCCTTTTTCCTCCTTCCTCTTCTGGCTGAATTGTGGATGATCTGTGAGCCACCATGCACCACATGGACAAGAGCAAAGTCTAGGGACAGCAGGACCCTGGAGACCTGGGAAAAGCTCTTCAGCCCTGGATGGCCACTCCATATGGGGTAAGCACTGTCGTTTCTGTTGTCTGGTAGAAAGTCCTACCCTCTATCCACCCAAAGCAGAGTCCTTGCAGAAAAAGGAGCCAGTACGGAGAAGTGCAGAGCAGAAAATCAAAGGGACAGAGAGAAAAAGTAGGTCTTGGTGACATATTTTTGGCCCCTGCACAGCTTTGGTTGTATTTCTGTTCCTGTTCAGAGATAAGAACTATGGTGTCATCTCTACCTTGGAGATGAGGAAATGGGAGCTCAAAGAGGTGCAGTAAGTTGGCCACAGTGATGCCGTGTGGGCAGAAGAATAACCGGGTAAGTGGCGGTACTGGGAGGGAACACAGGGGACCCAACCCCAAAGCCCAAACACACCGCCCCGTCTGAGGAGGGTCTGGGCTCTTCTGGGGAAGCCCCCCTGCCAAACACAGCCAGTCAGCAATCATCTTGTCCAAACCCTCTTGCCAGCCATGGGGTGGTGTGGGGGCCCCACAGCCAGCCCTGGAGGAAGGGGGCCCTGGGAGAGGGAAGTCGGGTGTGGAGCCTTGAGCTTGGCTGTAGGAACTCACCCCAGCACACGTTTGGCAATCACGTCCACTTTCTCCGAAATGGTGCCCAGCTGCGCTAGTCCCACAGCAGGCCGAGTCCACAGGTAGGAGTGTGCCGGGGAGACCAGATCCTGCAGGCGGCAAATGTGACCCTAGGGGGCAGAGGCAGTCGTTGGATGTGCTGTGGACAGGGCTCGGACACACCGGGAAGGTAATGGGGGTGCCACCCACTCCTTCAGTCTCCTGGAGCTCCCCGACACACCTGTCTCAGCAGGATGATCCTCTCCACGTAGGCTGGGTCCAGGACCTCCCTGTCTTGCAGCTGGCTCCCGAATGTCTCCTCCACCAGGGCCTGCAGCTTCCCCACCAGCTGGTGCCTCTGAGTCTCGTTGCTCACCAACCGACAGAGGTGTAGCCTGTAAGAGAAGCCAAGGGACCATCCTGACACGGGCATTGCCAGCCCGCCCAAACCCCCTCTCCCCAGAGGAGTGGGGCGGCGGGGGGAGGAGGGGGTTGGAAGAATGATACATTATGTGAGCTGCCCCTCCCACAGCCTAGAAACAGAATATATACAGGAAAGAGATCTGGCCAAGGTCTGCAGCAGCCTGAGAGCCCCAAGCAACCCAGAAGAATATCCTGTTTTCAGTGTTCCTAAAATAGGAGCTAACATTTTAAACTAGGAAGAGATCACATAAAAATAGAGATTTCTGTCATCTCTCAGGAAATCCAAAGATCTGGCTGCAAAGGGCCCGAATTCCCCAAGCTTCAGTGGCTAGTGCAGAGTGGAGGCTGCCTGGCTCACAGGCACAGCATGCTCCAGTTTGCCAGGCCCTCTGCTCCCCAGTGCCTCTCCCGGCCGGCCACCCACCCTGTGCTACTGGCCTGGTCTCTACAGGCACCCAAGTTTACAAGGCAGACTCTGCAAGTGTCTGCCTCCTGGCACAGCTTAAAACATGGGGCTCTGGCACAAAGAGGCAGGGGTCAAGAATACAGATTGCTAGGATTCAAAGCCAGGGGACAGTTCAGAGGACAGAGTTGCTTCAATCCAGGGCTCACAGTTAAAAAGTTCAGGTTTTCTTTTCAGTTTGAATGTTCTTTTCCAGAATTCTTCTAACTGCCTTGTTCCCTCTCTTTGAAAGCAGCAAAGCCTCTAAGCAGGCCCTGTTGGTCCTCAGTCCCCTCCCGAGGCTGCCCTCACCGTGTCCCCAGCAATGTCGGAGGGACCCGAGAAGGAGAGGTACAGGGCTGAGGACCAATCTGCAGGAGCTTGGCCCTTGTCCTTGGCATGGAAGGCAGGGAGCAGTGGTGGGTGAGTTATGTCCTGGGCTCTGGAACCGGACAGGCCTGCGGATCAGACCAGTCCTGTGAGATGTCTGCTGCAAGTTACATGAACATTTAGAGCCTCAGGATGCTCGCGACCATGTGGCGATGATGGGGGGAGGGAGGGCTCTGTCACAGGGCACTGTGCAGATTACATGAGGGACCATCTGTAAAGCACAGAGCTGGAGATGGGCAGGGAGTCGGAACAGAGGCTCCCACACATCAGTGGTGGAAGAAGGAGACCCTCTGGGAAGCTATCTAGAGCGCACAACTATCTAAAAAACATAATGATTTTTTTTATAGTTGTTTTTTTTTTTAAGATTTTATTTGTCAGAGAGAAACACAGCGAGAGAGGGAACACAAGCAGGGGGGAGTGGGAGAGGGAGAAGCAGGCTTCCCACGGAGCAGGGAGCCCGATGATGAGCCGAAGGCAGAAGCTTAACGACTGAGCCACCCAGGCGCCCCCATAATGATTTTTTTTTTTTAAAGATTTTATTTATTTAATTGACAGAGAGAGAGGGAACACAAGCCGGGGAAGTGGGAGAGGGAGAAGCAGGCTTCCCGCGGAACGGGGAGCTCCATGCGGGGCTCGATCCCAGGACCCTGGGATCATGACCTGAGCCGAAGGCAGTCGCTTAACCAACTGAGCCACCCAGGCGCCCCCCATAATGATTTTCTTAAAAGGAATTAAAACCACATGCTGAAACTGTTCCGAAGCCAGCCTCAGCAGCGAGATGAGACAGTAGAAAGAAAGCAATCAAGAGACCCTAGCGGCTAAGCTTGAGATAACATGCATCAGGTCCAGGGCCTGGGAGGCGGTAAGTGCTAGACAGATGGTCATTACTGTTACTACTCCTACCACACCTCTAGTGCTGCTCTGGCAACGACTATTACTACCTTTACTACTAGCACGGAAATAATCACAGCAATGGCTCGATGCTAGAAACATCTAAACATGACAGCTTTGGCTGCATTAACTTCATGAGTGTCAGTTCCAACACTGCATCTCCTCCCTGATTCATGCTGAGCAAAGCCCACCTCTACCTTCCTCTGGCTGCCCTCATGCTTCAGGGGGGACTAGAATGGGTCACCAGGTATCTCCCCCATTCTGTCCCCATTTCCCCGAGATGCTGCTTTCCCTACAATCAGTAAAGTAGGGTACAAGTTGCATTCACTCTTGAATGCCCCATTTGAGAGATGCCTGCTATTTACTGTGTGAACTTGGGCTAGTTATGGAACTGCCCTAGGTCTCGGTTTCTGCATATGCAAAATAGAGCAGAGTCAGGCAACTGACCTCAGAGGTCTAATGGGAGAAATAAATGAAGTAATATCCTTAAAACACCTGCAGCCAATGTGAACTCTCTGGGCTCACGTAAGTAAGGCACTGAGGAGAGCCTGTCCCCAAACTGGTGCTCAGGACATGGCATCAATGAGTCCCTTGTCCCCTCAGTACACATCTGTCCACTGGCTTTACCGCTGAGGCCCTTAGATGGATATGTCAACAGTGACCTGAACTGTAACTGGATTTACAGCTGTGAGTGAAGCACTACGTGAAATGTACAACAGGTGCCATGAGACGATGCTCATTCACTGCTGGCTGCGGGACCTGGGGGGTGATTCTGAGATGAAGATGCCTCTTCTCCAGGCCGTGGTTAACAGAATCCATGCCAGGGATGGCCAGGACAATGGTAATGACAAAAACAGCACCTACTATTTACTGAACGCTTTTCATGTGCCAGGGGCTGTGCAAAGTACTTTGACGCAATGTTTAATTTAACTGAACTTTTTTTTTTTTTAAGATTTTATTTATTTGACAGACAGATACAGAGCGAGAGAGGGAACACAAGCAGGGGGAGTGGGAGAGGGAGAAGCAGGCTTCCCGCAGAGCAGGGAGCCCGATGTGGGGCTCGATCCCAGGACCCTGGGATGATGACCTGAGCCGAAGGCAGACGCTTAACGACTGAGCCACCCTGGTGCCCCAATTTAACTGAACTCTTAACGACAGTTGCACAAGGTGGGTACTGTTATCAGTCCCATGTTCGAAAAGAGGATACAGAGGATCCAGGAAGTTAGGTGATTTACATGCTCTGTGTCAGCTCACAGAACGGTAGACACCTGAGCCCACAATCAAAATCAGGTCCGTGTGATTCCAAAGCCCACTAGACCCTCTGCCCTGGGGACCCATCATTAGCAAGAAAGCCCTTTTCTACCAGCGTCCCCCCCTCCCCCTGCCAAGGCTCTCCACTCACCTGTTGAATTCTGGGAGCTTCTCCAGGTCCAACAGGGCTGAGTGGCAGGTGATCCGGGTCAGGTCAAACTGTGTTATCAGTTCTGGCAAGGTCCTGCCCATCTGGTTCTCTGTAAGTAGGCATGCCCAGCCTCAGCCCCCTGCCTCTTTCAATCACAAGGGAGGCTGGTTGAGCACGTTCTGGGTTCCCCATTGCATTCTGACCAAAGGGATTCAACTTCTAGCTCTTTAATAGATCAAGGGTCCGAATGAGCTTTCATTTGCAGAAAGGATTCTGTCCCTCAAAAAAGCAAGTTTGAAAATCAGGCTAAACAACCCTCACTGCCCCCAAAGATGCGAGCTGCAGAACAGCATGCTCATGGCCTGGCTCTGCCCAGAGATTCTGATTCCACTGGGTTGGGCTGTGGTCTGAGCATCAGTATGTTTTACAAGCCTCCCGGGTGATTCCCAAGTGCAGGCAGTGTTGAGAATTGCTGTGTTGGGAGCCCCTCCTCCTGAGCAGCAGCTCCGCCCCATACAATCGGTGGGCATCATAGTCAGGCCTGGGCCTCAAGGGAGCCTCTGCCATGTCCCTTACAGGCTGTGTGACTTTGGTAAGTCACTCAAACCTCTCTGAGCCTCTCAATCCTCTTAGAAACAGCAAGGATAATAAATACCTCTCAAGGATATTTCAAGGAGTAAGCCAGATAAGAGCAGAATAAACAGTAAGCAGACTATCACTGCCACATTTTCAGAAATCCCCTTCACAAAGAGGTCATCCTAATTTGCTGCTTCTTTAACCTTTGGGCTCTAAGTCTTGGGCCAAGGGTAAAGGCTCAGCTGGAATAAACTAGGGTCATAGTAATCTTAGTAACACTGCTGAAATCCATACTTGCCACAGAGGTAGTAATATAATTGTCAGAATCCTAGGATCTATAATTTTCGGGGCTCCTGGGTGGCTCAGTTGGTTGAGCGGCTGCCTTTGGCTCATGTCATGATCTCAGGGTCCTGGGATCGAGTCCTGCATGGGGCTCCCTGCTCAGTGGGGAGTCTGCTTCTGCCTCTCCCTCTCCCCCTCCTCCCTGCTCGTGCTCTCTAATAAATAAAATCTTTAAAAAAAAAATCTGTAATTTCCGTGCTTACTACGAGGCAGATAACTTTCCTGGATGCCTCATACTCACGAGCTCAGTGCATCCTAACCTTATGAGGAAGATCCTTATCCCCATTTTACAGATGAGGCAGGTGAAGCTCACAGACCATAAGGTCCTTAAGGGCAGGGGTTACATCTATCTCGTTCACTGTCGTAGCCCCAGCACTTAACACCACTTCTTGCTCAATAAACACAAGAATGAACTTCGGCAAGACTGCAGGTGGCACAGCCGGGGCTGAAGACCAGGTGGGCCTGAACCAAAGCCCTAGCTCTTCACTGCTATGGTCCCACAGGACCTCCCAAGTGGGTGGGTACCTGCAAACCCTGAGCCACAGTTGGTGATGATATCAAGCAAGGCATCCGGCAGGAAGTCGGCAGCCACAAAATGCTCCACGAAAATGTCCCCTTGCCTCTTGGACAACTTGCTGCCATCCCTGTTGAGGAGCAGGGGCAGGTGGGCAAAGCGAGGTGGCTGCCAGCCCAGGGCCTGGTAGAGGAGCAGATGCTTGGAGGTGGAGACTAGCCACTCGGAGCCGCGCAGCACGTGGCTGATGCCCATGTGGTGGTCGTCCACCACGCAGGCCAGGTGGTACGTGGGGAAGCCATCGCTCTTCAGGATGACCGGGTCCCCCTCCACATGTGCCACCTCATGCCGATTCCAGCCGTACACCAGGTCCTGGAAGGCTGGCGCTTCCCCCTCCAGGCGGAAGCGGATTGCAGGTTTGGGGCCTTGGGCTAGCTTCTGGGCCACCTGCCCCTGGCTCAGGTTCCGGCACCGATTGTCGTATCTGTTGGGGAGCAGAGCAGCATGATAGCTAGGGGCACCAAAGACAGACGTGAGTTCTACCTTTGTCTCTGATGGTTAGGTGACCTAGGTTAAGTCGTGTATTTCTCTAGCTCTTCTTCCGGTCTCCAACAGGGATAAGAAGAGGGATATATTGGAAAACCAAGTAAGATGACAGCATGACACACATGCCTACCTGTCAGCCTGTCCCTCTGCTTCGTTAGCGAGGAGATGGCAAAATGCTGAGTCGGTTGAATCATGGCTGGTGTAGCCGATCATGCAATCGCTTTCCCCTATGCCAGCGACTGGTCCAGGTAGGACCACTCTACTCACTGAGACTCAAAGAAAAGTCTGCTTGGGGGCAAGCAGGGGAGGGTTAGGGTCCTGGGAAAGATTTTCTCTCCAATCGAGAGTGAAAGACCCACAAGAGGAAAATCCCTTTTTATTCCCTGCCTTCCTTCTCCTTCTGCGCTCTTCAGCTGCTGTCCTATGAGGACAGAATGCTTGGAGCCACTGCAGCCACTCGCAAGGGATGGGGGTGGGGCAGGAGAGGCAGGGATGGGCCAAAACAGAGCTCTGATGTCTTGAAGCTGCTGGTTTTATCCATGAGTCTCTCACCTCCAGACTTTTTTTTTTTTTGGTTGCAAAAAGGTGGTTTTTATGGGCAGAAAGAGCTGCTACCTCACCTCCAGACTTCTGCAGAGTAACTGGTAAATGTCTGTGTGGGTTATGCCCTGGCTACTCCAAGTACAGTCTGTGGACCCCCAGCAGCAGCCCCACCTGGGAGCCGGTCCGAAATGTGGCATCTCGGGCCCACACCCCAGATGTGGTGGATCTGAATCTTCATGTTAACTAGATCCCCAGGTGAGCCATCTGCATGTGAAAGTACGAGAAGCTTTGGCTTGTCCCCCCCTTTTTTTAAATTCTTTTAGTAAACTCTACCCCCAACATGGGGCTTAAACTCATGACCCTGAGATCAAGAGTCGTGTGCTCCATTGACTAACCCAGCCTGGTCCCCTGGTTTGTCCCTTTTCCTTTTTTAATTTTTTTATTGTTATGTTAATCACCATATATTACATCATTTGTTTTTGATGTTGTGTTCCATGATTCATTGTTTGTTCATAACACCCAGTGCTCCATGCAGAATGTGCCCTCTTTAATACCCATCACCAGGCTAACCCATCCCCCTACCCTCCTCCCCTCTAGAACCCTCAGTTTGTTTTTCAGAGTCGATCATCTCTCATGGTTCGTCTCCCCCTCTGACTTACTCCCCTTCATTCTTCCTCTCCTGCTATCTTCTTTTTCTTTTTTCTTAAAATATGTTGCGTTATTTGTTTCAGAAGTACAGATCTGTGATTCAACAGTCTTGCACAATTCACAGCGCTCACCGTAGCACATACCCTCCCCAATGTCTATCACCCAGCCACCCCATCCCTCCCACCCCCAACCACTCCAGTAACACTCAGTTTGTTCCTGAGATTAAGAATCCCTCGTATCAGTGAGGTAATATGATACATGTATTTCTCTGATTGACTTATTTCACTCAGCATAACACCCTCCAGTTCCATCCATGTCGTTGCAAATGGCAAGATCTCATTCCTTTTGATGGCTGCATAATATTCCATTGTGTATATATACCACCTCTTCTTTATCCATTCATCTGTCGATGGACATCTTGGCTCTTTCCACAGTTTGGCTGTTGTTGGTTTGTCCCTTTTCCATAGGGCATTCCATTACTTGCTCCCCAAAGCATCCTGATACACAAATTTAAGGCTTGAAAACATACTCCTTAACACAGAGTTAAGTGTTAATTAGTAAATGGCTGTGCGGATTCCACAAGAGAACTTGACCGTAATTTTAAAAAAAGAACCTTCTGCCAATGGACAAGTGGACTGTTTTAACAAAAGAGCAATGCTGCAATGAATGTCATGACCTCATAGAAACATCCAGTCCTTGCCCAAACAGTTCATTTAAATTGGAACTCCCCAGTGGCACTTGGCTGGCTCAGTCGGTAGACCTTGCAACTCTTGATCTCAGGGTCGTGAGTTCAAGCCCCACATTGGGTGTGGAGCCTACGTTAAAAAAAAAAAAAAAAGGGGGGGGTGGCACCTGGCTGGCTCAGGCAGAAGACCATCTGACTCTTGATTTCAAGGCTGTGAGTTCAAGCCCCATGTTGGGTGTACAGATCATTTAAATAAACTTAAAAAAAAAGTTTTAAAAATTCTTTAAAAAATAGGGGCTCCTAAAAAAAAATATAGGGGCTCCTGTGTGGATCAGTTGGTTAAGCGTCTCTGGATTTCAGCTCAGGTTGTGATCTCAGGGTCATGAGATGGAGCCCCACATCGAGCTCCATGCACAGTGTGGAGCCTGTTTGAGATCCTCTCTCTCCCTTTGCCCCTCCACCCAGCCCCCCATGTTCACACGCATGCACCCTCTCTCAAAAAAAATAACAAAAAAATAAAATTCTTTAACAATAAATAAATAAACAAATAATAAATAAATAACTGGAACTCAGATGTCCTGATGCAACTGCTCATAGGAAGCAAGGTGGTCAAGGGCCACAGGGCAGTGTCTATCAAAGCTCCAAACTGGCCCTAGATTCCCACATCTAGGAGGGTCTCCAACAAATGCCCTGCACATGGGTACAACGATGTATGTCACCACGATCCAACCCAGCTCTTCTGTTTTAACTACAGATTAGAAATGGCAGAAAGCTTCATTGGTAAGAAACTGGTTAAGGGCTGGTACATCTGTACAGCAGAATATTACACAAGCCAAACAAAAATCTATGGGCCAGTACAGACTGGGTCCCCTCAAGATGGTAAGTGGGAACAGTTAAGTTGCACAGTCTGCATACTGTGTGCTGCCGTTGAAATCAGGGAGAAGAGAAACAATACGCATTTCTCAGGGTCTGCATCGAGTGTCTCTGGAGGAGACCTAAGAAGATTCTAATGGCATTTGTCTATGGCGAGGGAAACGGAGTGGCCAGAGTCAGGGTTAGGAAAGATCTTTGCACACATAGCGCTCTGGACCTGAAAACATTTTACTTCCTCAGAACAACCAATAATTGAAATGACACATTAGTGCTGCCTGAGAGCCAATGTGGCAGGCAGCTCTGACATGGCCCCAGTGATCCCAACCTCCGGGGTTTCTGCCCCCGTGGCATCCCCTCCCTGGAGCATGGGCTGGACCTAGTGGCTTCTTTCTTAGGAACAGAATGCAGAAGTGATGCGATGTCTCTTCCTGGATTCAGTTACGAAAAGACCCGGGTTTCTGTCTTGCTTGCTCTCTTTTGCTTTCGGTCTGGCTCACTCGCAGTGAAGCCAGCTGCTATGCGGGGAGCTGCCCTGTGTCCAGGCCCGCATGGCAAGGAGCTCGAGTCTCCAGACAACAGCCAGTGTGGCCCGGGGTCTGCCAACAGCCTCACGAGAGAAATGGAAGCAGATCCTCCGCCAGCCAAGCCTTGAGAAAACTGCAAACCTGGCCAAAACCTTGACTGGAGCTTTGCGAGAGACCCTGAACCGAGGGAGCCAGCTAGGCTGTAGCCAGGCTCCCGACCCACAGAGGCCATGCAGGGACCACAGTCTGGGGGCGATCTGTTACACAGCAACAGCCCAGGGACATATGCAACTTCGGGGAAGCAGCCTCAAGAGGCTGGGGCTCTCACCGGGGCGTCTGATGGTTCCTCAGGGCCTCCTTCTTCAGGAGCTCCAGCCGCTGCGGTGAGCAGAAGCAGCGGTAAGCGGCGCCAGACTCCAGCAGCGCTTCCGTGGCCTGGGCGTACAGCTCGAGCCGCTGGGACTGCTGGTAGGGCCCGGCAGGACCTCCCCGGCGGGGGCTCTCGTCAGGCGGGATGCCTGCGGCACAGCAAGAGACCATGATCACCAAGATGCTCGCAGCACTGGTTCCTGGGCACTGTTCTCTGTGCTGTAGGCAAACAGTAAATCTCCCAATGCTCACAACAATCCTCAAGGTCATTACTGTTTCGATTTCCCTTGTACAGATGAGAAGTTGCGAGATAAGAGAGGCTAAGGGCTCAAGGTCGTGGGGCCTGCCAGATAAGGAGTCACGGAGGTGTGTTGCCTCCGCAGTCCACGCTCCCGACGGCACGTGCTCTCCTCCCATCCCTTGCCCGTGGAGCGGGAGAGGAGCCCAGGCCTGGAACAGCTAGCTCAGAACGAGGAATGGGTCAGGGCACAGCCCAGCAGGCCCTGGCTGGACCCCTAGTTCTGCACCTCAGAAGCTGGGACAAGGGACCCTGAAGATGTGTGAGAGCTGCAGAGCCACACACTTACCAGGCTGCTTTTATGTTCTATGATCTCCACTAAAGCCTCAGAACTGCCCTGCCACGTAGATGTCATCCTGACGCCCTTCAGTAGGGATACTGAGGCACAGGCGGGCTCTGTTCCCTCACTTGGCCAAGGACAAGGGGTGCAACTGCATGGGAACCCAGACGAGCAGGCCCCAGAATCCACGCTTTTAACCTCAGCAGCCTTCCCCGCAAAGCAGAGCGAACAGTCTACCATGCGGAATGGCAGCAAGAACGGGATGCGTCAGCGCTTACACAGCGCTCAGCCCAAGGCTCACCTGCAGAACTGCCACGCTGTGTGCCGTGAAATGAAATGGGACCTGTTCTAAAGCCACAGCCCCAACCCAAGGTCCAGTTTCCTCAGGTCACAAAGGACAGATTTGATCAATAAACACTTCCCGCAGAGACAGAAGGGACACACAGGAGAGCTGGACGGTGGTGTTTCTGCCCTCAAATGGCTTTCCAATGAGTTCGGAAAGTGAGGACATGATTAATCCTGCATACCCGACATTAACACAGATTCTGCAGGCACACAGGCCTGGGTTCAAACACACTGGCCTGCTCTGGGGCCTTGAGCAAGTCACCCTTCAGAGCCTCCATTTCCTAGTTACAAATAACAACTCTCCTGGGCACCACCATGCTGTTAGCATGAGCCGACACACGTGAAGGGCTCAGTGCCTCGTTACCTAAGTGCTAAGCACTCAGTTTGGGCTGTGATCATGATCATTCAGCTCCCTCTCTGGCTGGGCCTCTATTTCTTCATTTGTCAGAAAAGACAGTGACTTAGGTACATTTGGGAGCCCCTTCCTGACCTAACCTTAACATGTTTGGTACTTGGATTGCCCCCAGGCTTAAGAGCAATTCCACTAGGGGAACTGAAAATGTATGCTCATGTAAAAACTAGTATGTAAATGTTCACAGCAGTTCCACTCACTGGAGTCAAAAAAGTGGGGCAGCCGGGTGGCTCAGTGACGTGTTCAACACTTGATTTTGGCTCAGGTCATGATCTCAGGGTCATGAGATGGAGCCCCGAGTCGGGCTCCGTGCTCAGTGGGGAGTCTGCTTGAGATTCTCTCTCTCCCTCTGCCCATCCACCGCTTGCTCTCTCTCTCTAAAATAACTAAATCTTAAAAAAAAAAAAAGTCAAAAAAGTGGAAATAATCCAAATGCCCATCCACTGATGAACAGAAGGTGGTATTTCCATATAAGGAATATTATTTGGTCACAAAGAGGAATGAAGTATTGACATGTGCTACTACACAGAACCCCTCCGCTAAGAGCCAGTCACTAAAGGTACATGTTATTCGAGTCCATTTATCGGAGATGTCCGCAATTGGCAAACCACACAGACAGAAAGTAGATTAGTGATTGCTGGGGCTGCGAGGAAGCAGGAATAGGGAGCGACTGCTAATAGATACAGGGTTTTGTTTTGGGAGGATGGAAATGTTCTGAAACTGGATGGTGGTGATGGCTGGCATAACAGTGAACATACTAAAAAACCACTGATTTGTACACTTTGAAATGGTGAATTTCATATCCAGTTAATTATATGTCAGTTACAACAACAACAGCAACACAAGGTGACTCCTGAAGCAGGAAGCTACAGAAGTCAGCCACTACTCTGCCTCATCACAAGGCTGGGGGCGGGGGGGAGCTCCGCTGAGGGGCCGCAGGCCACACTCATGCAATCGTGCTGCCCCAGGAGTTCCGAGAGTGGGACCTGTTTGTCACTGTACTGCTCGTGCCTAGTACAGTGCCTGACGGGTAGCAGGAGCTCCCTGAAATCCAAGTTCTCAACCTAGTCTGCCCGGCGCTACATGGTTCAGCTCTGGCCAACCCATCTTCGCAGTCCCTCTGCTTTGCTCACTGTGCTTGGGCCACGCCGGCCTCTTCGCTGTTCCTCTAACACACACTACACTTGCCTGCAGCAGGGCCTTCCCATCTGCTCTTCCCTCTGCTTTGAATAGTCTTCGCCCAGGCAACCACGGGGCCGGCCCTTCACTATGCAATCTCTGCTTTCGGGTCACCTCCTCCTAGAAGACCACCCTATCTGAGAGAGGATCCCTCCATGCCAGTTCCCTAATCTGTCACACTTGTCTCCACCACACTCATCAACACTTAATGTCACAGTGAGGATGAATTAATCTGTTCATCTGTCCTCTCCTACTTACTGGGCACTGGGTGTCTGTTCAGTGCTGGAACAGGACCTTCATTACAGTTAAGTGATCTTCGTGAATGAATTCCTTTTATTCAACTCATTTTTTTTTTTTACGATTTTATTTGACAGAGAGAGAGAGACAGTGAGAGAGGGAACACAAGCAGGGGGAGTGGGAGAGGGAGAAGCAGGCTTCCTGCTGAGCAGGGAGCCCAATGTGGGGCTTGATCCCAGGGATCTGGGATCATGACCTGAGCCAAAAGCAGACGCTTAACGACTGAGCCACCCAGGCACCCCTTATTCAACTAATCTTAACTAAGCATCTGCTATAACATTCTACAACAGAAGGTACAAATGAAATTGGTTTTTGACCTTCGGGAACCCAAAGTCTCGTTAATAATTTACCTGAGATTAAGATACACGTCTCATAAAAGTCTTGGTACTTTTGGTGTTTTTCCTTGGTGAGCTTAACTGGTTATACCTGCCCTGACAGATAGGCGACTGTTGACCCAGGGAACATACACTCTTCCTTGTCTTCCTGGAGTTTAGGAGGCCTCTGGATTAAACATCCCACAAAACTGACTTTAGAGGCTGCACACATTTTGTTTGGATCACACAACGTGGTTTAAAAAAAAAAAATCTGGGCTCAAGTTTAACAATGGGAAGTGTTCGCTAAAAAAAAAACAAAAACAAAAAACCAGTAACAAAAACCTGGATTTCTGACTCCTCTGGGAAGTAAGAAGATTGAACAAATTGGGCCAGCACTCCCACATGGGAACAAGGAGCTGGAGCTTTCTCCTGCTCACTACAGGCCCCGCCTCTCCAGCTCCATCCTATGCTTGGCCTGAGAACCTGAGGTAAGAACAGGAACCTCAGAATAGCCTTGGAGCTTTTCCTCAGGGAGCTTCAGCATGTTTTGGGGAGGCACATGCCACCCGAGGCAGCATAAATGTACCCACCTCTCTAGGAAGTCCTCGTTCTCCATCTTGGTCCCCGTGAGAAGACCTACAGGCTCCTTTCCCTGCTCCCTCTTCCCCCTTGGAGAAGGGTCCTTCCCCGGCCTGCCTCACCTGCCCACTCCAGCATGTGTTCAATATTCTCTGCTGCCCCAGGCACAAGGCGGGTCTGATCTGTGTCCTCCAGCCTGAGGAGGAAGCTCCCCTGGTGCTTCTTGGCAAAGATATAGTTGTACAAGGCAGTGCGGAGGCCGCCCAGGTGCAAGAAGCCTGGGAAAAGAAGAGAACAGCTCAGACAAGACACGGAAGATGAACTGACATGCCTCAGCCAAGAGGCAAGCATGCCCTGCTTGTAACAGGATGTCCCAGCAAGTATCAAAGCTCAAAAAAATGCTACCCCGTCCCATCTTTCTAGCCAGGACCCAGACAGACGACCACAGAGGATTGGAGTGGTCCACTCGTTTAGCCCCTCATCCCGGAAGCAGAAGACCACCCACGTCTTAAGAGCGTGTAATGTTGTAAAGACTCCCAACTCTCCCCAGCTGCACCCACTGTTCTATTTTGAGATGTGCCTCAAAGCCAAGTTTTACCCAAATGAGGACAAGCAGAGGATTATCCATGGAAGCCATATCACATGTGCACTTAGCGTGTGCAAATTCAGTAATGTGCTTGGGTAAAAAAAAAATTAATTACAAACTGGAGATACCATACAATTACATTTTGCATAGACTCTCTGATTTTTACCTGAAGTTTTGGCTTTGAACACTAACCAAAAGTAATACTTGATTCTACTATATTTCTCTTCACCTGAGTTCAAACTCCTAAGATTTTACTTTTCTAACATTCCTGACTGAAAGCTTAAAATTAAACATTTTCCCATTTCCCCTTGTCCTGTCTTCTTCAGGTCAGGCCACAGCCCTGTCTCCACAATGAGCTTCTGTGCATCTACAGAAACAGGAGGCAGCAAAGGACACGAAAGGCAGACTCCCGTTCAACACTGATTATGTGTGACTCTCTGCGGGTTATCGCAAGGCCACCACAAAATCAGTGGTCCCCAAGATGGAAGATGGGGGTCCAGTAATTGAAAGCAAGACCCCTTAAATAAACCTGGATTTAAATTCTGCATCGATTTACTGGTTGCTATCCCATGGGCACTCTATTTCACTTGTCTGAGCTTCAGTCTTCCATCTGTTAGAGATTAAAAACAAAAAAATGGAAACCTCCCTTACACAGTTGTTGTGAGACCTAAATGTTGATCAAAGTACAGCTTTCCATTAATTTTAGTAATTAGTGATCTCGGTTGCTTGATAATTCTTTTATCTGTCTGTAGTCAACACCCTTTTCTGTATGGGGTTTTCCTGCAAATTAGCAAGGAAAATGAGAACTATAATCATAATAGAGAATATTGTTTATTAAGCTCTAAGAATACCAGACCTTGCTAAGTGCCTCAGCTGCATTAGTTCAAACCCATGAGGCAGGTACCATCACTCGACCTGTCTGACAGAGGGTAAAACTCAGAAGCTCAGAAAGGTTATGTAATTTGCCCATGTCACACAGCTGAAAAGTGACAAAGCCAGCAATCTGGACCCAGTCAATCTCAGGCCTTGGCACCCAACTACTACGAGTGCTCCGCAAAGCAAGGCACAGACCAGTGCTGGTCTGCAAACTGTTGCCAGTTCACAACAAAGCACAGAAATTGAGAATAAATGTTTAGAAACTTAACAGCAATGTGACAGAGTAATTTTATATCTGGTGAATCTAGTAACAATAGGCTCACATTTTGTATGCTTTTAATATTTTTTCCTTTTTACTAGCTGATTTATGTTGGTTCTATAAAAATATTGATCCACAATCAATTGGGAATTAAAAACCAGTCCTGTCAACAATGGTTTGAGAAGCCCACTCTGCATTCTACCGCCTGCCAGGAAAGATCCTGCCACAAAGGAAGCCTTAGGTGTGGATCCTAAGGTTCAGAATGAGGGAGACACGCTCGGTGGGGAGAGGCCAGAAGGTAGGCTCCCTGAGGAAAAAAACCCGGGCAACTAGCGGGTAGGCCCCGACAAGATCTCCACTAGGGTAAACAATGAGCCCCTGCCTCCCTCTCTAACCACAGGGCCTTTGTACCTGCAATTTCCTCTGCCCATAAGGTTCCTCCTATAAGCTTAAGGATAGTTAGCTTCTTGTGTTTTGGTTCTCAGCTCAAATGATACGTCCTCAACGAGGCCTTCTTGAGCTTCCTACCTAACCCCCAGCTCCCTCTCCTGCTTCATTTCTCACGTGGCACCTGTGACTACCTAAAAGTAGTTATTTTTTACACGTTGTTTGTCGCGGTCACTACAACGTAAGCTTCTTGAGAATAGGAGCCATACGTTCCCGAAGACCACCGTATCCAATGCTTAAAGAGTACCTAGTACACAGTTTGTATTCGGTACACATTTATTGAATACACGAATAAGAGACCTAAAGAGATGGTACACAAAGAACTTCCTGGCTATGTGAATAATTTCCGCTCGTAGACCTGTTTCTGCCTCTGTAAAATGGGGTCGCGCTGCCCGCCGAGTCTGACTCCACCGGAAGGGATTCTTTCGGGAACATTCGGGGGGCGGGCACGGGACGGTGGACAGCGACCTGCAGCGTCACGTCCGCCAAGGTTACCTGTAGGACTGGGGGCGAACCGCACTCGCACCGCAGCCCCGGGATCAGTGCCCAGGCTGGCTTCGCGCCGTCCCATGGGGCGGCCCAAGGCCGCTGGGGGCCTCACCGACTGCAGCAGCCTCTTCAGGAGCACCGCCATGTGGAATGGAAACGCACACGTGGGCTTCCTCGTGCATCACTTCCGGGGCCTCTCCCAGCCAGTCCGCTTCAGCCACAGAGGGCGCAGCCCCGCCCCTTAAAGGCGCAGCCCCGCCCCTTAAAGGCGCAGCCCCGCCCCCTTAAAGGCGCAGCCCCGCCCCTTAAAGGCGCAGGCCTCCTAGCTTGCAAGCCCACGCCCCCCAGCGCGGCTGCAGCCCCACTCGGCCTCTAGGGGGCAGAGCCCTTCGAGCGGGAGTTTTCCCGGACCCGCCCCCCTCGGCTCCCGAAAGCTAAAGCGTGGCAGGGGCCGGGCCGCGAAAGCGGAGGAGGCGGGTCTCCATAGAAACGTCCACCTGTTTCCGGCCAGTCTGTGCGAGATTAGGGGCTGCTGCGGGGGCCAATCTCAGCTAGCTCGCTTTTTCCCAGCGGCCTCTGCGGGAGTGGTGGGTGTTGTACACAATCATCATGGCGGCGGCCGGAGCCCCGGATGGTGAGTGTGGCGGGGGTGGCGAATGCCCAGGTTGGGCCCAGGTAAAGAGGGCCTCGGGGAGGGATGCGGCCCGGCCCGGTGGGGAGCAGCCTGGCTCGGGAGCGGAGGTCCGGCGGCGCCCGAGCGGGGTTCGGTCCCAGGCCCAGCCTGCGGCGAGCGCCCACCCCCCCAACCCCCTTGCAGGCATGGAGGAACCTGGCATGGACACGGAGGCCGAGACTGTGGCGACCGAGGCCCCCGCGCGGCCCCTGAACTGCGTGGAGGCCGAAGCCGCGGCGGGGGCGGCGGCCGAGGACTCTTGCGCGGCGCGAGGTAGCCTGCAGCCGGCGCCGGCCCAGCCCCCTGGGGACCCTGCGGCCCAGGCCTCGGTCAGCAACGGCGAGGATGCGGGCGGCGGCGCGGGCAGGGAGCTGGTGGACTTGAAGATCATCTGGAATAAGACTAAACACGACGTGAAGTTCCCCCTCGATAGCACAGGCTCCGAACTAAAACAGAAGATTCATTCGATTACAGGTAATCGCAGTGGTACTGTTAGGGGACAAGGCAGCCTTTTCACCCCGCCTGCCGATTCCTAGTGCTCGCACTGTTAGGCACCACGCGGGCCACTCTTTGCATCCACTCCCTCAATGCTTGGAATGGTTCTCCGGAGTAAGTACTGGTATACCCATTATTCAGGTGGGGAAAATGAGACCCAAGATGATAGAGCTAGAAAGTGGCTGAGCCGAGATTCAGGCCCAGGTCTGACTTTTAGGCCCAGGCTTCTAATCAGTGCTGCCCTAGACATTTCTAATGAAAATCTGAAGCACGTGTTAAATTTATAGCTCCTAAACCCTTTTCTCTGGAGAGTTTGATTCAGTGGATCTGGAATGTGGTCAGGAATTCATTTTTAGCAAATATCTTGGGTAATTCTCATAAGAGAAATTTAGGAAACACTGCTGTTGACTATCATGCTCGCCCCTTCACAGATCCTCATAGTTTTTAGTCTTGTTTTGTTTACAGTAATTCACCAACTGAAATGATTTCTTTTTTAAGCTTTCTCCATGTAGCCTGTGAGCACGCGGTAAAAACAAGAACCTTATCCTTATGGGTTTCTGTATCACTGAGGCCTGTGGATTCTCAGTGTTTGCGTGATCAGAGGATTGAGGAACAACTGGGAATGAATGACAGCTAACATTATTGAACGATTACTTAATGCCAGACACTGCACTAGATATTCTGTTTGTTTTAATCCTTAAAAGAAGTCTACGCAGAAGGAAATGCTGCCATCACAATTATAAAATTTTGGAAACAGGCTCAGAGGTTGTCAGTTGCTTGAGCGCACAAAGGTGCTGGAACAGTATTCATCTCCAGGTCTGTTACCAAACGGCTCTGGTCCAGGTACATTTTTCATTCCTTTCTTTCACTGTCTCCCTTTTCCCAAGGTCTCCCTCCTGCCATGCAGAAAGTCATGTATAAGGGACTCGTCCCTGAGGATAAGACGTTGAGAGAAATAAAAGTGACCAGCGGAGCCAAGATCATGGTGGTCGGCTCCACAATAAATGATGTTTTAGCCGTAAACACACCCAAAGATGCTGCCCAACAGGATGCAAAGGCCGAAGAGAACAAGAAGGAACCACTCTGCAGGCAGAAAGTGAGTCTGTCATGTGATTGCTAGTCCTGGGAAGTTTGGGGCTTTGTCCTCTGGAGCCTTGGCTGGTTATATTCTCCCTAGAATAAGCTCCTTTTCGGACAGGGCCCATGATGGAAATTTATGGCAGCAGTTGGGTGCGGCTGACTGTTGAGTGGAGGTGACAACTACCTGAGATTTGCAACTTTGTCTCATCTGGCGGGTCAGTGTGTCTCAAGTCTCTTTACTTTAGGATAAGGCCTTTGTAAAGGCAGGCTTCAGACAAGTATTGAAAGGAATCAGATGTGCATTTCTCTTTAGTGCCAGAGAAAAATGCCACCAGCAGAATGAACCGCCCCCATTTTGTACAAGTGCTTACATTTGTTTTTTGGTTTGTGGCTTCCCCCGAGTCAAGCCATTTCTGGATAGCCATAGAACTCCGCAGCTTTCAGAGGTTCCTCTAAAACTGACTTTTTCAGGAAGCCAAATGAAGCTGACTAGGAACATAACTACCCTGGCTTTGGTTTTTTTTTTTTTTCCCTTCGTGGTCCATGAAATGGGGACCTGATTTTTTATATCCTGTTGCTCATTTTGGATGGAAGAGATCCAGCCTTGTCTTGTGTTCCTTGTAGCGATTAAAATTCCTTTTCGTAATTAGGAAAAGTGAGAGTATTTTACCACAGAGGGAACTGGTTGGAAGAACCATCTCTTGCAACCTTTCCACCAGAGAACCCGCTCATTGTCATGGGGCCTCTTGGCTATGACTGGCAGCTTTCCAGGAAAACAGATATTCTCAACTTAACCTGTGTCCCAAGTAGTGTAGATCAATTTGGGGGTTTTTGTTTGTTTGTTGTGTTGTTTTGCTGGTTTTTAGTTTTGTGTTTTTAGAGTAGACCAGTTTGAACCAAGATTGATTTTAGTGACTCTAGGCACTAAGGCATATGGCTAATAGTGTGAGGAAGATACAGTTTTGTGTTACAGGCCCATGACCCTCTATGTGTGCTTTGCAAACCTGACTAGGCATCAAAACTTGACCAGAATTACTGTGACTGTCCATGTTTTGCTACAGAAACAATATGTTCGAATGACAAGGTACTGCCCCAGGTTCTACAGAGGATAACTTGTAACATGTTTTTAAACCGTATTGCTTTTTTAAAGTCCATAACACTTGGGTTTTATAAAACTCAAAAACATTTACTTACAGGGTTTTAGATGAGGAGTTGTAAATCTATATTAACATCTAAAAAGTATTTATTTGGACCGTTTCAGCCCCAAATATGGGGTCAAAATGTAACCAATTGACTTCTTTTCCACTCCTCTGCCACATACATGAAATTGTCAAATGTGAGCATGTCAGAAGTGAGTGAGGGTTCCCACCGGTCACACCCTTGTAGCTTTATATGCTTCTTAAACATAGGTTTTGAGTTACTAATGGTAGCTTAACATCCTTAAAGCTGTTTCCCACAGTACAGGGAAAATTCTTCTCAAAGATCGTTGCGAGGTATGAGTCAAATTAAGCTGTTAATTTCTGCTGCTCTGTTTCATTGATGCTAGTTAGGAGTTAACACAGCCTAATGAGAAGGACCCATTCTCCTGGCTTTTTGTCAGCTTGCTCAGGAATCTGGGGCTGCTCCGTATGGGGACCCTTTGCTAGCAGTCTGGCAGTATTGAGTTTATCCCTGCCAGAGGGTCTCTGCCGTGCCAGGGAGGGTTGGAAGTGGCTCATGACCACGTGGTGCTTCCATTTGGTGGAGTTGTTCCCTTTCACCTGCTTGCTGTGCCATAGTCTCAGTTTTACCGAATAGTGACCAGACAGTGACTTATAAAGCCGCCAGTGGAGAGTAGACAAGCTCAGGCATTTGGGCTGCTCAAGATCTGTTTTAGGGAGCCATGAGCCCAGTGAGAACCCTTAACAAGCTGCCTCAAACCCTGGGGGGCGGGGGCGGGATCAGAGACTTGTTAACGTCAGTCTGTAGAGGAATTGGCATTTGTCTCGGAAATACGTCTCATGGCCTTCTGTGTAGCTGGGGTTGAGGGTGAGGTAGTGAGGAAGATTGCTACAGTAGTCTTGAGTTTCCATTTGTTGAAGAAATGCCCCTTGTAGGCAGTTAGGCTGATCATCAGCACTGTTTCTTTGGGAGTTTAAGTTGGCAGGGATGGCTGTCATTTTGTACCTACCAGGAGAATACCCTTTGCGGTTCTCTTTATCATGATGTTTATCCCTTTCAGTGGTAGTGTTTTTTTTGGGGGGGGGGGTGGCCAGAGGAGGGGATAGTTTATTTGAATTAGCATCCGGAAGCCTTAGTTGCTCTAGAACTTTGATGTCTAACACAACAGCCACGTAAAGCGTAGTAAAATTCAGTAACATTGAGAATTTAGTCCCTCAGTTATGTTAGCCAGCTTTCACGTGCTTCCTAGACCCGAGGGTCTCGTGGCTACTGTCTGAGACAGCACGGATGTAGGACATGTCTAGCATCAGAGACCTCGCCACCGGACAGCAGTGCTCTCTCATGTCAGAGGACCCGTAATCTGTACACATTGAAAGCTCTTGACCCGAAACCTGAAGGCTTTTTTCCCTCTTTTCCAGAAAAGTAGTAACATGACTAAAATGCAGTCAGCTGTTTCAGTTATCATTTCTTCTGACTTATGTTCCAGCAACACAGGAAAGTGTTGGATAAAGGAAAACCCGAAGATGTGATGCCATCTGTTAAGGGTGCCCAGGTAAGCCGGACTCCTTTGTGAGCGTTGTGAAAACACGCCAGGCCCCCCTTCTGACTTCCTGAGGTTCCTGTGATCACGTCCTCCCATCCTGTCCCTGGTCCTTCCTTGTGTGTCTTTGTTTCTGATGCATGTCTCTCACTGCGCTCCCATGCCTCCAGGAGCGCTTGCCAACGGTACCCTTATCCGGCATGTACAACAAATCCGGAGGCAAAGTGAGACTCACTTTCAAGCTGGAACAAGATCAGCTGTGGATCGGCACTAAAGGTAGGCTCCCACTCCTGGCCCTTCCCGGCTCGCTGCCTCGGGCATCCAGCAGCATTTGGGCTTGGGTGCGACTCTGCTCCTCCTGAGGTCTCTCTCTTCACTGTGCTTTGCGTGCCCCTGGCTTTTTGTCTTTGCTTTTAGATGCTCACCTTCTGTCTGGACCCTTTTCCCTTCATTCTTTTCAGTCTTATGTCAGGGCCAGTCCATCAACAGTGGCTCTTCACTTGCACCCAAAACCAGAGGTCCCAGATGTGTAGCCTGAGGGTCAGGTGTGGCCCCCAGACCAGGGTTTTTTGGATTTACCCACGTTCTGTAAAAATCAAAGAGATTTCACTTGATCTGACGTGGGGGTTTTTGGGCTTCTCTTGAAAAACAAACAAACAAACAAACAAACAAAAGATGCAGGCATTCTGGACCTGCATTCTCACATGGCAGCGATCAGCTGGAGCCAAGTAGTAGGTTCAGATGAGCCATGCCACAGTCCTCACTGTCCGTGTACCTCATATGGAGCCAGCTTTGTTCATGTAATGTCACCTGCCTGGCCCCTGGAGGTCAGAGTTTGTCCCTGTACTGGGTGCATTTTCCTAGTACCGTGGACCCACCCCTCCCTCCCTACCTGTATGTGCTCTGCCTGTCTCCACCTACGCCTGCCTGTGCCTGGTGGGGCGGGCTTGCTGCTTGCTGTTGGCTGGGAATCGTCTCTGACTCTCCTCCCCCTCTGTTCCCTCAGGTGGTTCAAAGTCTTGTCAGTTACGCTCCAGAATTATCTGTGTCCCTTTTTTTTTGCCACTCTGTTGTGCCAGTTAAGACTCTTAGTATCTTTAAACTTGGTTTGTTAAAGCAAGTTAACCTGTTTCCCTGCCCTGTCTGTTTTGTTGTGTCCTACCCATCTTCCTCCCTGGTTCCCATGCTCAGCAACCTTTGGCCTGGAAGAACCAAGTTCAAATGCCTAAACGTAGTGTCCAGTGTTGTCAGATTTTGGACCTAGACTCCTACCCCGCTTGCCCCGTTACACGCTGTGGGCTTCAGCTGCACTAGCCTGCAATTTCAACTGTGCTCTGCACAGCCCCACGTCTTTGCTCCTGCCGGGCCCTTAACTTGGAATGCCTTCTTCCCATTCCTCATTGTTAATAAAATTTCCGGAGGCCCTACTTTAATGTTCTCTTCTAATGAAGCCTTCCCCAATGCCTCCCCACCCTCCAAATGAATTGCTGCCATTTCTGTTCATAGAGCGCTCCGTTTACATCCCCAGAGCATTCATTACTCTCTGACTTGTCTGTCCCCCTGTTAGATTCCCGGAGGGAACCGAACATGCCTAATTCACCTGGTTCTGGCCAGCACTGTAGGTATTCAGTGTTCGAGGTAAATGCTAAAGAGAAGTACAGGGGGTCCCATCACATGAGGTTGACTGGTTTCAGGGACAGGCCATTCGGTATGACTCTGCTTCGAGCGGGACCACAGACTTCCAGGAAGTAATGAGCGGGGCAATGGGGCGTGAGGCGTTTTCTCATTCCGAATGCCGACACAGGCATTCTCGTCTGTCTCTGGCTGGTCCATAAAGTGAACAAAGACCGGAATGCCAAAAGCGCAGGAGTTTTCTCACGATTTTATGGTAACTTGTTGTATCTCCTCCCTTTCACCCTTGACTATAACTGCATGGTCAGAGCAAGTGTTGCAGAACACGTAAGGGCTTCCCCGGTCTTCCCACGGGCCTTCAGACCCTTTCCCAGGTCCTGCAGTCCGTGCTCGTCCACCGTGAGTTGCCCTGCCTCTGTTGGCCCCTTCCTTGGCCATGACTTTGCGGGCGATTTTGCTTAGTTCTCCGTCATTGCACTGACTTGCCCAATTCCTGCCTCTTCTTCCATTTCCACTTTCTCTTCCGGGCAGTGTACTGGAAGGCCACTGCTGAGGCGGATGCAGGAAGTCACCTGCGGGCCGCGAGGCTAGGTGTGGGCTGGGGAGGCCGGGGAGGACTCCGGCTGTAAGTGCTCGTTGGTTCCTCAGGGAACGTTTCCGTGGTAGAGACCGTGTAGGAAGCACGTCCTCACTGCAGGCCCGAAGTGGAACCTCCCGTACCTGGGGCGGAGGTGTTCTCTCAGCTCAGAGGAGTTGCTGCTTTCCCGCTTTGGCACAAAGCACTCGAAAGAATCGTGACAGGTTGGGGTTTCAGAGCTATTGACAGCCTCCTTCCTCACCAGCCTGATGAAAGAGCACGGCCAAGAGTGCCGTCTTCACGGGCGACAGGGCCGAGAGTTTTGCTCTCAGGAAGGCTGCTGTAGTGATGTGCGTCAGGCATTGTTCCCACTGGCCCAGGAGTCTTGTCCTCTGAACGTCCTGAGCACCCTCCCAGCAGGACAGCCTGTTCTGGGAGTTGGCCACCAGCCACCGGCTTCATCTTTCCGCTGGCGAGAAGCTGCTGTGGGACGGCCATCCCGGCAGCCGGTTGGCCTTTTTCTTGCAAGTGGGGTGTTTCGCGGAGTGACACTCAAGGCTCCTACTTACAGCTTCAGCTCTGTCCGTGGTAGCGAGAGTAAGGCCCGGCAGCGAGCAGAACCAGCTTCAGGCAGGAAACGTGGATGGGCCAAGCCGCGGGGGGGGGGGGGGGGGCGGGGGGGCGGGGGGGCATGCACCCTGTGTGGAGGGGCGTCCAGCCTGATCAAGCTCATCGCTGTCACTCAGGAATGTGGGCCCAGGATCGAGTTTTCAAGAGAAGCCAGAAATGTATCTTTTTGTGTGAAATCTTAGGACATTTCAAGGTGGCTGGTGTTTTAAAAAGTTTCAATCTTAAAAACAGCTGCTGGTCGGGTCCTGCCTGTGGGTCACTGTTCTAGAGCCACTGAAAGTCACAACCCAAATGGACACCTTCACATCCATTCTGCCCACCCCCCATTTTTCAGACACCAAGGCTCACGGAATGGAAGTAAAATGTCTCGAGTCAGCAGCTAGACTAGAGCCCAGGCCTCTAAATTCCGGGTCTGTTTGGTCAACTCATCCATTGGCAGATTCTCTCTTTTCCAGAATTTTCTTTCTGCAAAGGCTGTCCTGGGTTTTTTTCCGACTTGGCTTAACTTTGCTGAGAACTTCCCCATCCCCGCTGCGTCTGCTGCTCCCTGGGGAGGGGGGGTTCTTGTTGCGCAGGCACTGCGCCCCCTCCCGCCTTCATGCCCCACCCTGCGGCACTGGCCTCACTTCCTGCAGGCTCCTCTCCTGCCATCCCTCACTGCCGCCTCTTTCTTACCTGCCACCCTTGAACTTGCTGCAAAATGTCTTCTGACCCCCCTGTAATAAGTGATACTTTGAGGGTCGATCACAAGAGGTTGTAAATGTTTCAAGAGCACTTCCTCAGGTGTGTGTATGTGGAGGGTTGGGGGGCTGGGAGAGGGGAAGGGGTGGGGGAGGGCAAGTGAGGAGGAGGGTGGAATAGAAACGAGTTGAAAGCCCCACGCACTCCCTGCCTGTGCTAGCCACAGGGGCATGCTGTTGCCTCTGCTCTTGGTCCTCTTGACTGCCCCGCCCCCAGGCGCCAAAGACCTTAGCCAGTGCTGGGCTCCGGCAGGAAGGCTGCAGTGGGAATCCTTGGGTGTTTATAAATTGCCAAACTTTAAAAAAAATAACACCAGGAAAGCGCTCTCTCTGTTCTCAGAGTCCTTTAATATATGCCATGACAAGCAAATGTTCCCCATTTGCTTCCAAGAAGTTCCCACCTACCAAGCAGAGCTCTGTGGGTGTGCTGGTCAGACGACCTTGTCCCATCGTCCTTAGAGCACGTGGGAGACTTGGGATTACAGTAGATCCCAGAGCCACCAAACCTAATGAGGGACTGCTGAGTCACAGGAGTGGACAGGAGGGCCTTTGAGTAATCACTGTAATCCCTCTCAACTAGAGCGGACTGAGAAATTGCCCATGGGCTCCATTAAAAATGTGGTCAGTGAACCTATCGAAGGACATGAAGACTACCACATGATGGTAAGTAGCCCGGCGTGGTTTAGCCTCTCACTGCACTCCCACTTCTCATCTAGCAGGGAACGGAGTTTTAACTGAGCTTTCTTAACGGACGAAGAAACTCAATATTCAGAAGACGCATGGTTTTAAGACCCTCACGTTTTCTTCATCTCCTTAGAACTCAATCCATGACCTATTCCTAAGTTTATTTCTGCAACGCCCACCCACCCCCCATCAGTTTAAAGGGGATATGTTTTTATATCTTTACCTTCCTCTCATTTGTAATATTTTTGTCATTAGATCAGGAAAATAAATACAAGGAGGAGGATTGGCTTGTGGGTTTTCATTTTAACTTTTGTCCTGTGTATAAAACAAAATCTCCCACTAGCCTTGGCATTTGTGAGGACACAGGCGGTCCGCTTCTGTGGCACTGGTGCTCTTCTCAGGCGCAGCCATCAGGTGGCTGAGGACACCGTGGGGAGGACGGAGTCTGGGGTCATCATTCCACATGGAGGTTTATTCTAAAGAGAGCAGGCTGTTCTTTCCCGAGATAGAATGTTTGGAGGCATTCCCCGAGTTTGTGCAGAACAAAGCCAAGAATTCAGTGATGCGGGGCACAGAGAACGTTCACTGCTCAGGCAAACCCCCAAGTTTTCCCAGCATGGTTAGGAGAGGCCACTTTAGAAGTGAAGTTTAGTTGCCTAAACTCCAAAGTTACTCTGACAGGGGCCTGACCAGAGCCAGGAATGGGGTGGGGGCAGGGCTGTCTGCCATTCTCCATCCGAGGAGGCGGGGTTTTTAGCGGGCAGCCAATGGCGCACCCCGTTCCAGGGATGAGGAGCAGCCGGTGGCTTGACCTGTGCATCGGGGGTAAAAGGTCCCCTGCAGAGGGAGGTGTTGGAAGGTCCCAGGGAAAAGGGGGTCTGGTGTTACCGAAGTTCTCTCTGGGCAGATGGCAGCTCCCCTCTCTTGCCCTGTTGGTGTCTGTCCACTCAGAGGCGCTGAAGCCAGGCCACGGTTAGGGTTGCAGTCCCGGGGCCGCAGGGCTCCTGGGTGTCCTGGGAGTGATGATGTCACTGGGGCTGCTTGCAGGCCCTCTGGCGGCCCTCCCACCCCTCGTCCTTAAGAAGGATCGCAGACAGACTTGTTCTGCCTACTCGGTCATTTTTCCCATCTACGAAGTCGGCTTCTGGATATTTTCAGCCAGGCCCCTTCACTCCCTTTTGAAACGTTCATCTGACCTGTGTTGCCCATGACATTCGCAGCCCCACTTTTCAAGCAGCCCGGTGAGTGGGATTCCCAGCAAGTTGAGGGGACCATTTCAGACATCCTTAAAGAAATCAGTTTGGATGGTTGATGTTTTAATATTCAGTTCAAATGCTTGTTTCTCTCTTGGGTCATTTGTGGCAGAAAGGAGTGCTGATAGTCTCTTCTCTTTACTAAAGGACGTGAAGTGGCACCTTGATCTCTGTGTAAATGAAAGTAACTGCTCATTTTGCAGATGCCATTTCAGTAGCTAGATTAATGGTATCATAGCTCACACCAGAGAGGGTTGGCTGTGCTTTTCATTCTTAGGGAAATGTTTAAAAATGCAGAAGAGAACAGAGAAGAGTAGAACAAACCCATATATCCATCACCAAGAAACGAGTGTTGTAAATATTTCGTGAATTGCTTTAAACCGTTTTTTTTTTTAAATAAAACCTACCAACGGCAAATATGTCCCCATTGTCTTCCCCTCCCCCATTACTATGAGCATGATTTCTCATGTGGGTCCTTCCCAGCTCTCTGCTTTTGTTTTCGTATAAATCCATGAACGAGATACAGTATTGTTCTGTGTTTTTTCAGTTTTCATAAATGGTAACATGGTATGTATCGTTCTGCAACCTGCTCTTTTTGGTTCGACATTGTGATCTGTCCATATTAACTGTAGATCCAGTTCATACCTTTGAAAAATAATCCCACATTCGTACGAATAGGGCATGTCACTTTTAATTTTGCGTTCCCTTACTGATAGATAGGTAGGTTTCCAGGTTGTTAACCAGTTGTGACGGTGCTGCTGTGAACATAGATTTGTTCCTTTGTGCATGTGTGACAGTGTTTCTAGGGCAGTGGTTCTCAAACTGGTCTGTGTATCAGTAGTACCACGTCGCCTGGGATCTTGTTAGAAGCGCAAATTCTCAGGCCCCAGACCTCCCAAATCAGATGCTCTAGGGGGTGGAGCCCAACCAGTCTGTTCTAACAAGCCTTCCAGATGGTTCTGATGCACACGCAAGTTTGGGAGCCACTGCTTTAGGGTCGGCTGTGCTTAACTCTGCCACCACCCTTTTCGGGGGAAGGGGGGGACAGGAGAATGCTCCCCGTGTGCACAGTGTTTCCCCCTTCCCTTAGTTTTAATTCACTTCTCCGCCCTCCCCCGTGTTTGTCGTGCTGCCTGCTCGGTCTCCCAACCTCTGAAGTACCGCTTGGTTTTCCTTTTTCCCTTCCAGGCGTTTCAGTTGGGCCCCACGGAAGCCTCTTACTACTGGGTGTACTGGGTCCCAACTCAATATGTGGATGCAATCAAAGACACTGTGCTGGGGAAGTGGCAGTATTTTTGAAAGCACTTTCACCTCTGGCCCAGGAGACTGACCCAAAGTGAAGGACATTGCTGGGAGAGGCCTGCAGCATCCCTGGATTTCAGAGTTCTGGGACTTTGTTCAAAAACAAACAAAAAAACCTATATCCACTCTAAGGCGATGTGGTGACTGAAGCCAGAGGTGATGTACTTTCACCATTAGCTTAATTTTAACTTAAAATCACCGGTTCCCTTTTCTGGCAGTCAGCTTCATACCATTTTTAAAGTCCATACGGTGGAAATCAATAAATCTGAGTTCCGAGCACGTTGTGTGGAATACTCTTCGGTGTGTTTGAGAGTAGATCTGCCAGTTTTGTTTAGAAAGGAATGATCAAAAGCTTGCTGGTTTCCTTTTTTATTTTTATTTTTTTTTAAGGCGATTTCAACTGAAATATTTTCATAAATCTTCGGTTGCAAACATTTGGACTGCGTTGTGATGAATTGGGTTTTGGTTTTGTTTTTTTTTCCATATAAAATTGTATGCAAAATGAGGGGGGGGTTAGTAAGCCATATTTTTCTGTCCATGGATTCAGATTTAATTTTTTCCCTTTTGTATGTTCTCACTTCCTAGATTTGAATTTTTGTTTTAAAAACCCAAAGATGTCAGTTCCTGGTTTTGTACCTCATCGATGCTTCCTCTCCTGGCCTCCCTCCCACCATGTTGCTGCTCGAGAACGCACGGCGGGAGAGGAAGAGCTGTTGGGTCTAGGGCAGGGAGCTCTCGTGCCTGCTGTGCTGGGTGTCGAGCAGCCAAGTATCTCACAGTGACTCCCGTCCAAACGGCTTGCCCCTTGGGCCGCGGTCTCTGGGGAGTTCCACCTGCTGGTGTCCTGGTTGTCTGGTGCCCTCCCTGATTTGGCTCTGAGGCCCAGCCTGGCATGGGTGTGTCTGGGCTGCGCTGCCCAAAAGCCACAGCTCCCAGGCCGACAAAGACCTCTTCAATGAGGAGCTGGATGGAAGCACGTTTCTATGGCCATATAACCTCAGGCCCATATCCTTCTTTCTTTCGAAATTCCGAGAAATTCTTAAGCAGTCCAACGATTATTTCAATTACTGCTTCTCCATTTGGTCCTTCTGCTCATGCATTATGTTCAAGTGTCCTTCATCCCAGGTTCAGAGATGCTGCCTTTCTCAATAAAAGACCTGTTGACCTAGTGGGTTGGCCGATGTACTTAAACATCGAAAATGGGATAAATTGCTTTTGTGATTAGCTCACCCTCTTCTGGTTTTAGCCCTTATGTTCTTGGTACACGTGAGCTTCTGTTGTCTCCCTATGGCTCGATCGACTCGGACACGAGGGCGAGTCTTTTGGTGAATGATGCCCTTTGTGCTCTTTGCTGTTTCTCTGCTGGCTGTCTTTGCAATTCTCCTCTCCCTGGCTGCAGGCTCTCATAGTAAGGTTTGGCGAGAGATTTTCCAAACTTCACATTCTGGATTCTAGGCTGTTCCCCCTCATCCTGTGAAATGTAATTAGCATGTGTTCGCCTAAGATGACTATTCCTTGTGAGCCAGTTAATGATGATACTCTACGCCCTTCCCTTCCAAGCTGTAGTTCAGGAATCCAGCCCATGTAGACAGACTCGTGCTTTTCACGGTGTAGCCCTTGCCCAGTTACACATCTGGGCAGGGAACTCTACTCTTGCTTTTGTGGGGGCATACGTACCTATGTGAAGTGTAGCGTCCAAGAAACCGCCTGCTTGTCACCCGTTGAAGAAGGAGCAGTCACTGCGCTTTTCTGTCCCCGTTGGCCTGCAGTTTCTGGAGAAGAAGAGCTTCTGTGCTACTTGTCAGAGCCTCCTCTGCAGCGGACGGGTCTGCGGAGGAAACGATGTCATAGCAAGCAGAGGGTCCTCTTGGTCTGAACACTGCCCTTTTTGTTGGCCAGTGCTCCGTCCTGGAGACGTGTCCTGACAGTGCCACACACCCACCTTTGTTCTCGCGAAGCAGGTGTCTCCGTCCCCAGACTGGCCTCACAGTGCTGCTCTCAGAGGCCCTTCCCACCAGGTCTCCTTGTTTGCCCTGTTCCATGGCTTCCTGTGCTGTCTTGCCCCTCCCCCTCCAGTGAGAGCGTGTGTGTCCCCTTATCTGCCTGCTCCCCAAGGGCCAAACCGCTTCTCACTCGGGCTGCTGTCATTTCTAGACAGGACCAAAGCCTGCGTGAGCCTTTTTATTTTACGTAAAATGGTGCTTTTTTTCCTTACTTCAAGATACTATATATAAATAATAATGTCAACGACATCTTTTCGTACAGAGCCGTTGGAGTATTGTTTTACAGAGCTCAGTAAATTTGCTAGAATGATCTCGAGCTCTGGCTCCTGACCCTGTCTGCATGGAGACCTTGCTGGGAGCCCTCGGGAGAGCAGAGGTGGACAGCACCAGAAGCCACTGGGAGAAGTATTGGACTTAGATCCATGTCTGGGTCACAGCAGTATTCACGGTTTTTCCCTCGGTCCCGTGAGCGGTCTCTTCCTAACCTTGTTTACGGTCTAGAATGTTCTGACTAAATCTGTGTTAGCAAATTGAAGTCTCGTACTCTTCGGTGGCATCACAGTGTTAATTTGTCCTCAGGATTGTTTCCGTGCAGTCCCTTTGCTGGGGCCGTGCCCTCCCTCACCGTGGCAGAGGACATGCATCAGGACGAGCTGGTCCCCAGGAGGGGCTCGGCGCGCGGGGAGCCAGGCTCATCCTCTCTTCGCTTTTGGGGCGCTTCTCCACGCCTCCCGAGGGCCTGCTTCCTCCTCCAGGGTTTGTGCTGGCGGTCGTCCTGCGGGGCTTTGCTCACAGACGGCAGGCCTTTCTTCCCTCCCAGAGACCACTTGGCAGAGCGATGACCAGGTCATCCCGGCCAGGCCCGCGCAGCTCTGGTTCTGTGAGTCCGGTCCTCTGAAAAGCCGACTCATGAGCTGCCGGAACTCTCCTGTATGGAGTGTTTTCACTGAAGCTGGGCCTTTCGCAAGTAGCGTTCACTCTTTTTAGATGCGATTGAACTGAGCTAAGGATGCTCTTGTGGACACGGTGGGGGCCAGTGAGGCCCAGTAGGCTCCTTAGTTGCTGCTCTGTCTTACGAGGGCCAAAGAGACCAACTCTGCCACTTTGCTACGTCTCAGAAAAGTTGCCATATTTCAGCCGGAAGGGACTTGCTTTCCTCTTTTCCTTACTTTAACCATGTGCCTGGAGGAGCCGTCCTGGGCTCTTGCACTTGGCCCACCCTTTCTTTGCTGGGGCAGCGAAGGGGAAGGGATAGACTCCGTGTGCCAGGGCCGTGCAAGGGCAGGCTTGCTTTCCACCCCATCTTCTTCTGAGGGAGACCTTTCTCTTGCTCTTTGCTGCTCTCTTCATGCCTGTTGTCTTGGAAAAGGATGGTCCCTTTGTCTGAAGGCTTTGTGAGGAAGTCCTCTCCAGGGAGGAGGGGCACCTGTTTCCTAATAGGGCCGAATGGCCTCTCCGAAGTTACAGGTGGTCAGGAGCCCTCCGAAGTGCAGAACATCTGGCACTTCGACCGGCCAGGCTGGGTGGTTCTACTGCTCTCTCAGTTTCTAGAAACCTCCTTCCTTTTCTTTCTTAAAGAGTTCTGCAGAATTATTTGACAATATACGTAAGTACTATGTTTTCTTGTGGTGTGCGCTCTGTCCTGGTTTCTGTTTTTAAATCAAATGCCTGTTTGGGAGGAGATGAACGTATTTAGTCTATTAGATCTGCGCTGCTGGACTTTTTTTTAAAGTGTAATCTTGACTAGCTGTCTTATTGTTTATCCTGTAAGATTAGTCTATCAATTAAAGTTTGATAATTAATTGCGTCTCCTTTTCCTTTCAGTTTTTCATGCGCCTGATCTGTACTGGGCATTGCCCGATATTTGGGACTGGGCCCCGGGCCTGTTTTTTTGCTGCTGTGGTCTGCTATAGTACTGTCTTATGTATTTGGCTTTAAGTATACCCAAATTTGTTCCTGTGCAAAACAGGCAATACAGTGAATTTGGTTTATTTCCTGTGTTAGCCAGAATGACCAACTGGTCGGACCCACTCGGGGGAAGGCAGTCCTCCTTCCGTGCTCTGGCCTCCAGGCGTCAGGGAAGCTGCCTCCCTGTCCTTAAGCCTTCTGACTAGCGCCATGCGTGACTTCACCTGGCCACTAAGCCTTTGAGGACGTGTTTAATAAATCACTGGAAGGAGCTACAGCTCTTGCAGCAAGCTGCAAAGACCGGGGTG